CGCCGCCCCGTGCACCCACGCGCCGCCCCTCTGCAGGTGCGGGGCAGCTTCTTCCCCACCCACCCCCTTCTCCTTCCTCTCCCTGCTGCGCGTGCAGCCGTGGGGGGGAGGGTATGGGGGTGGCGGGTATGGGGTGGCAGGTATGGGGGTGGCGGGTGTGAGTAATCTGCTACTCCTCTTTCTCCTCTCTCTCCCACTGCTGCAGCTACCGCTGAGGGGGGGAGGGTGTGGGGGAGCCAAGGGAGTGGCGCTAGGGATGCAGAAGGGGGTGTGAAAAGAGGGTGTGGGACAATGGGGGAGGTTGAAAGGAGGTAGCCGCCATGAAGCCAGCAGCTCCAGTAGTCCGGATGCCCTTGCTCCGGTAGCCCATGAGCCCGTTGCTCCAGTCGCCCGTGGTTCAGTTGCTCCAGCCGCTCGTCTAGCCGCGGAGCCAGTTACTCCAGTAGTCCGGATGCCCTTGCTCCGGTAGCCTGTGTGCCAGTTGCTCCAGTCACCCGTGTGCCAGCAGCTTCAACTGCCGCCTCCTACCTCCTCTCTTCTCATAGTCCCTCCTCCTCACTTGCCCTCTCCTTTTGCTGCGCTTGGTGTACCCCTTCAGGGGGTGTCTCTGCATTAGCTTCCTGCTGCAAGCAGTTTAGGGGGTGTGTTGAAATATATTTCTTATCTAAACTGCTTGTAGCAATAGTTAGTGTAGTGTTACATTGGTGGTGCACCTTTCCTTGCTTCTCTATTTGTACCCTTTGCTCAATAGTGAAACCATCTTTTCTTGCTCCAACTCTCTCGATTGTCATGCCTAGCCTAAACCCTAAGATGGCTCCTAATCTCACCCTCTAGCTACTATTTTGACATAAACTACCCTAAAAAAACAGGGCGAACTAGGAAAGTAACTCTGACGATGTGTTAAGAGTTGTACAACAGATGTGCGCGAAAAAACGAATAACAAAGCTATGGTTGAATAAACTGACAATACAATGACTGCATGTGACAATATAATGACTACCCTAGCTAGGCGAGGTTGGGTGCAGGTTTGGCTAAGGGAAAACCGAAGGCGACGCAAGGGAGCCTCGGTTCGAGCGATGTCGGCCAAACGTGTGAAGTCCGAAAGTGGGGGTTTGTACGCGAGGCAATCAACCCGATAAGAAATGGAATTTTTCTTACAGCTGTACAATAGTTTGTAAAGACAAGGAAAAAGGTGCCATTATGTCGTCGATCCAAGATTCGGTCCGTACCTCTCTTTCGTGCCTTACAAATTTCGATATTCGTAGTGTCCGCTATAAAATGTATGTAGTTTAGAGAGAGCCAAAATGGTTACGCCTGTATGAGTTATGGAGTTTTTCCATGTCCCTTCGCGTCATGCTTATGGCACGCGATGAGAATAGCGAGGATTATTCACCCACCTACAGAGAACGGAGACCCATGTGTGTATCATCCATGAAACGTTGCTGGCAGGAAGTAGCAGCCTTAGTAGGCTAGGAAAACGAGGATAGAGTGCTCTCTGGAGTTCTCTGGAAATTGCACTATGACTTCACAAATTTGACAGTACAATTTTATAGAGCACATTCAAACATCGAGTCGCACTCCCAAGTCGCGACTCTCTCTGAATTTCTCAATGGTAACCCAACCCTTTGAAATGAACCTGCCGTGAAATTCAGAGAATTATTGCGGTACGGGATTGGACGGCGAGCTTGGTTACGGGGCTGTAATTTCGTCGGTGTTGTTGGCGAAGTCGGCGAGCGGTCGGAACTTCGGAGTCCTGCGTTTCGTAATTTTCGTGCGTGGGATTGACTTGGGCTGCGTGTCGGAATCTGGTCGCCCAGCTGCAGGATGGGGCGCTTGACCAATCCGAACTGTAGGTGAGGTGGCGCTTGACTTCCGCCCACCTGCATTGCTGTTGGCAGCATTCGGCTGCTGCACTGTTACATTACTCCCCCCTCCAAGTGGCGTCGTCCACGGCGCCAAACCGTGGCTGGTCAAGTATCGATTCACAGCAGTTGAAGGACGGTCAAGGTGGCTCTCGGGTTCCCATGAGTCCTCACTAGCAGGCTGATCCTTCCAACGAACAAGAAACTCCCGACCATGAGGTGTGTCGCGGTGAGCGGTGATAGATGCAACCTCAAACAGGCCAGGGCTGCCTTCGAACATCGGTGGCAGTTGGCGTGTGGCTGGAGGGTCGTGTGAAGGTGCATGGAAAGGGCGGAGGCGCTGGACATGGAAGACGGGGTGAATCTTCATATAGCTGGGCAGTTGGAGACGGTAGGTGACTGGTGAGAGGACTCGGGTGATGGTGAACGGGCCAATAAAGCGAGGGGCGAGTTTTCTGGTGGTGCCTTTGCGTAGGAGAGGTAGGTGGTCAGTGGAGAGAAGCACTTGATCACCAACGTTGAAGCGGATGTCTTTGCGGTGAGAGTTGGCATAGCGGGTCTGATTTGCTTGTGCTTTAAGGATGGAGGTGCGAGCGGCATCGATGGCTGATTCGAGTGAAGTGAGGAACTCAAAGGCTGCTGGTGTGTGTGAGAGGTGGGAGGGTGGGGTTGTGGGGAGGCGTGGGTGCTGTCCGGTTGCGAGGTAGAAGGGTGGCTGGCCGGTGGAAAGGTGGGGTGTGCTGTTGTATGCGAGTTCGATGGCGGTGAGGTGGAGATCCCAATCAGTTTGGCGAGCAGTAACTTGTGCACGGAGGGCGTCTTCAAGCGTGCGGTTCATCCGTTTGGTTTGTCCGTCCGTTTCAGGGTGATACGCGGTAGAAAACTTCAGCCGGGTTCCGTGAAGCTTGAAGAGGCTCTGCCAAAAGTTACTCAAGAAGTGGGGGTCACGGTCTGAAATGATGGCGGATGGGAGACCATGTAGGCGGACTATGTGATCGAAGAAGAGTCGGGCTGTCTCGGGTGCGGTGACAGTTGTGTGGGTAGGAATGAAGTGGTTCATTTTGGAGAGTCGGTCGACGACGACTAGGATAGCGTTGTAGCTGCGGGGTGTGCGGGGCAGATCCATGATGAAGTCCATGGTGACTTCATCCCACACTTTGGTAGGTGGAGGGATGGGCTGAAGGAGTCCGTAGCGGTTGGTGGTGCGTGCTTTGAGTTGTTGGCAGGTGCGGCAGGTGCGTATGAAGTCACGCACATCAGCATGCATGCGTGGTCAATGGTAGTCGTTGGAGAGGCGTGCGTAGGTCTTCTCAACACCAAAGTGGCTGCCGGTAACGGTGTCGTGGTATTTGGAGAGTAGCAGCTGTCGTAAGGAGCGATCTGCAGGGACACAAATGGTCTTGGTGACGGTGTTGTACCAAAATGGGTCTTCAAATGAGTAGGCCGGGTCCTCGGGTGCTTGCTTGACAAAAAACAGGTCACGTTTGTAGGCGCGCTGAAATTTCGTGATGAAGGTATCATCCCAAGTGATGCTGCTGATTCCATGGAGTTGCAAGGGTGGGTTCGGAGTGTGAGGTGGAGGTGATGAGGTGGGGCTGGTTGGGGAGTGGTGGGGCTGGTTGGTGGTTGGTTTGGGCTGGTCGGTGGGTGGTGGGGCTGGTGGTGGTGGTCGGGACAAGATGTCGGCTGGGTTGAGTTTTCCGGGGCGGTAGATAATCTGAAGTGAGGGTACGAACTGCTCCAAAAACTCAGCCCATCGGGCTTGGCGGCGGCTGAGCACGGGCTGTGTTTTCAAGTGTTGAAGAGGGCGGTGGTCGGTGTAGACGGTGACGGGCTGCAGCTCCACGTAACAGCGCCATGTCTTGATTGCGTGGACAATGGCAAGGAGCTCCCGATCGTGTGTTGCGTAGTTGCGCTCTGCCGGTTGAAGCTTGCGTGACTCGAAAGCGAGTGGCTGCATCCCATGGCCGTGGTCTTGGCAAAGAATGGCACCAACAGCCACATCGGAAGCATCGGTCCATATGAAGTATGGGCGTGAAGGGTCGGCGACGGTGAGGACCGGTGCAGAGGTGAGTGCTGATTTGATTGAGTTGAAAGCGGTCTGCTGCGGTAGTCCCCATTGAAAGGCAGCTCCTTGACGGAAGAGATCGGTTAAAGGGGCGCAGATGTGAGAGAAGTTGAAAATGAATTTCCGGTATTACTTGGCGAGGCCGATGAAACTTTGCAGCTCCGCTACCGTGCGTGGGGCTGGCCAATCAGCAAGGCACTGGACCTTTGCGGGGTCCATAGCAATGCCTTTGGAGCTGATGACATGGCCGAGAAAGCCGATGCTTGAACGGGCGAAGGTGCACTTGGAGAGCTTGGCGTAGAGGCGGTGTTGGCGAAGCGTGTCGAGGACGATGCGTAGGTGCTGAGCGTGTTCCTCGAGTGACTTGCTGAAAATGAGGATGTCATCGAGGAACACGATGACAAAGCGGTCGAGGAAGGGCCGAAATGTCGTTCATGAGTCCCATGAACGTGGCTGGTGCGTTGGTGAGGCCGAACGGAAGTACGCGGAACTCGAAGTGGCCGTAGCGGGTTCGAAACGCCGTCTTGTTGATGTCGTCTTCGGCGAGCCGGATCTGGTGGTAACCGGAGCGTAGGTCGAGCTTGCTAAAAACTGTTGCTTCCCCAAGCATGTCGAACAACTCCTCGACACGGGGTAGCGGGTACTTATTCTTGATTGTGATTGCGTTGAGGGCGCGGTAGTCGATGCAAAGGCGCAGGTCACCTTCCTTCTTGCGGGTGAAAAGCACGGGGGCAGCGTATGGTGAGGTGCTTGGGCGGATGAAACCCTTCTCGAGAAGGTCATCGAGTTGACGTCGGATCTCCAAAAGTTCAGCGGTGCTCATGCGATAGGTTGGGCGTACGGGCGGTGTAGAACCTGGAATGAGGCGGATGCTATGGTCAATAGCACGCTCGGGTGGAAGTTCGGCAGGTAGATCATCGGGAAACACATCCGTATAACGGTTGAGCAGATTCTGTATGGGCGGTGGCAGAGAAGTAGCTGATGCGTCAGATTCGGGAGCCGTGAAGATGACTAGGAGATGATGAGGAGGAGGTGGTGAAGGAGGGGTGGGGGCTGTTGGATTGATAACTTCAGAGGTGGGGCGGATGATGGGACGGCGTGGCTGCTGGGTTGGGTGGGGTGGAGAAGGAGGAGGTGTGTTGATCACTTCGGGAGAGCCGGGTGGTGTTGGCTGCTGCACGAGAGCTATGCGAGGAGGAGGGAGAGGGGGGATATGGGAAGATGGAGATGGGGCAGGTTGGGGTGGGTGGGTTGACGAAGCGGAACTGGTTGGGGATGACCATGGTCGACGGAAGGAGTGGGATGGGAGGTCGTAGCTGCCGACGGTGACAGTTCCGTTGCGCCAATAAATCCGCGGTCCAAACTGGTGCAACCATGGTCGACCGATAACGCCTTCGTACCCCCCGAGATGCAGTTGTTCGAACGTGACCGTCGCCTCCAGGCTTCCAAACATGCAATGCACGGGGAGGAGAGTAGGTCCGCAGCGCCGCCGAGTACCATCTGCCATGATCACGTCCTGTGGGTTGCTGTTGGGATCTTCGGGGAGAGAAAGTTCAGCAGCAATCGAGGGAGAGAGGAAATTTGCGGAAGCGCCGGTATCGAGCAGAAAGTCAACGTAGCGATTCTTTATTTTTGCGTATAGAATGATGGCGGGGAATGGAGCGTTTGAGGTGGTGTAGAGTTCAGAGGTGCCGATGAACAATGGGGTTGGTAGAAGCGGGGCATGCGATGCGCCAGCGGTCTGCCCCACAGCTACTGGCGCTGTCCGTTTCCCGGAGACCTTTCAAAGTTGCGGCGGTTCGGGCAGTGTCGCTTGATGTGACCAACTTTCCCGCACGAGTAGCACGTAAGCGTGGACTGGTTGCGTGCGCGTTGGTCCACTACACCGAGCTCCATGGGAGTAGGACCGTTGGTGCGGTAGGTAGGTCCAGCAGTGGTGTGCTGCCCGGTTCGTCCTTGGAATCGCTGGTACGCTGCAAAGTTGATGGTGTCGAAACGCTCGGCGACACGAATCATCTCATCCAACGTCGTAGCGCCACGGAGTTCAACCTCGGTGCGGATTTTCGGCTTCAGCCCACGTTTGAATTTGTCCGTCTGTTCAGCAGCAGGGATGTCAGGGATCTCAAGCACGAGCTCGCGGAAGCGGTTGATGTACTCAGCGACCGAGCGATGTTGACGCAATTCAGCAAGGTTGTCACGTGCGCGCTCGATGGAGTTGACCGGCTCGAAGTTCATTAATAGCGATGCAGAAAACTCTTCCCAAGTTGAAATCGTAGCATGGCAACTCTGCCACCAAGTAGCAGCTGCACCCCTCAGCATCATGCCGGCGTGCCGAGCCCACTCCGCCTGGTTGACATGACAAAGGGAGAGGTATTCCTCCACTTGGAAAAGCCACCGTCGCACCGGTAAGTGACGTTTTCCAGGGATGAACGGCTCAGGTTCGGGTGCTTTGGGTCGTGCAGAAACCACAGCAGGTGCTGGCGTCGGCACCTGTGTGCCCAGGAGTCCACGTTCCTGGAGTTCGCCAAGGATCCGGTCACACACCTCGCGTTCAATTTCTCGGCGCATATTTGTGACAAACTCGTTCCAGAGTTCCGGAGTCATATCAGACGGCCCAGCCATAGGGTCTAGAATATGGCGGGAGCGTGCGAAGTGACTAACCAGGCTCTGATTACCAGTGAAACGTTGCTGGCAGGAAGTAGCAGCCTTAGTAGGCTAGGAAAACGAGGATAGAGTGCTCTCTGGAGTTCTCTGGAAATTGCACTATGACTTCACAAATTTGACAGTACAATTTTATAGAGCACATTCAAACATCGAGTCGCACTCCCAAGTCGCGACTCTCTCTGAATTTCTCAATGGTAACCCAACCCTTTGAAATGAACCTGCCGTGAAATTCAGAGAATTATTGCGGTACGGGATTGGACGGCGAGCTTGGTTACGGGGCTGTAATTTCGTCGGTGTTGTTGGCGAAGTCGGCGAGCGGTCGGAACTTCGGAGTCCTGCGTTTCGTAATTTTCGTGCGTGGGATTGACTTGGGCTGCGTGTCGGAATCTGGTCGCCCAGCTGCAGGATGGGGCGCTTGACCAATCCGAACTGTAGGTGAGGTGGCGCTTGACTTCCGCCCACCTGCATTGCTGTTGGCAGCATTCGGCTGCTGCACTGTTACAATCCGCCATAGCCAGCATGCCTCTCGCTCGAGTCGGGCTCCAAAATATCTACTGTATGCAGTTCACATGTCAGAAGTATCACGCTGTGAAAATTGTACACGGGCGAACATGGGTCTGGCGCAGATTCAGCATAAAACGTATCCGAGTCGGCTACATTTCACGTGCTCGCACGTGAAACGAGCAGGTCGACCTATTTCAAGAAACCACTTCAAGAATCGTGTTTTCATCCGGTTTTCTCGACATTCTTATCCATTTCTTGTCCGCTGACTAGTTCTCAACACTCTCATCCAATTCTTGTTTGTCTAGTTCTCGTTACTCGTGTGAACCTGTTTCTTCTCATTTACTCAACACTCGTGTAACCAGTCCTCCTTCCCATCGTCTGCGCTACATCGCTCGCCGTGAGAAGCGGAAGCGCCTGTGTCCCGTGACATGCGCCGTGCTCGTGAGTGAAAGGGCCATGTCGCCTTGTTTCAGGGCGCCGACGCCTTGCAACGCGGCGCCATGCTCCTTGCGCGCTGCCACCTTGCAGCGGGCCCAGCACGCTGGCGGCTTGCGCTCTGGAACCTTGCCGCGGCGCGCTGCGCCTAGGGGCGCTGTTACTTTTGGCGCCTGCGAAGCGCGCTGCGGTTACTTGGCGCCTCGGAGCTCTGGCGCCCTCCTTTCGAAGGAGAAATGGCGTGAAGTTTCGCGCTATCTCCCACGGCGCTATCTCCCCCGGCGCTACCCCCCCGGCGCCAAAGCGCTGACGCCTTTCCCGCCGGTGCGTCAAGCAAGGCGTTGGTGCCTGCGCCGCCAGCTATTAGTAATCTCCCTCTTTCCTGTGGTCGTCTCCCTCAGGCTCTTAAACCCGTCCCAGAGTTAAGAGGCTCTTAAATCCGTCGCTCTGATCATTTCCATCCGTTCGTTTCTCCCTCTCTCTCCGGCCTTTCTACCGAATGGTGCAGTAGGTAGATCTAAACACAAGCATTTTCTCTCTTCACCGATCCCTGAGGTAGGTGGCTGTTATAGTCACAATAGGCTTGAATGTGCCTAAAACGAAAGATAGAGAGCACAGACGGATTTCTGCACAGCGGATTCAAACGTTGATAGCGTTCTGCTCACAGCTGCAAATGACTTGATTCAAATTGGATCTGGAGCGTCTTCACGTCGTCTACAATTATAAATTTAGATTGCACGATTTGATAAAGAATTGACGACACAGCGTCGGTTTGAACGAACGGTACTATGGCAGCCACTATAGTCTTAGAACACAAGATAGGAAGAGTTACGAGTTGGGAATGACTCCCAGCTCCTACAAACCCCAAGAGCCGAGGTACAGTGATGTGGAACAGTGCCACACTGTCCCCAACCACGAAGGGTCTCGAAACTACCCTTCACTAGGGCCTACACCAAGTGAAATGTTACACTACACAAAGTAATGTAACTATCTTCAATATCTTGAGGTGTACCCTTTTGGCAAGCTTCGAAATCACTTGAGGCTTGACACCAAGGCTCGGGCTCTTCATCACAAACTCATCCTTGAGTTCTTGATGGGTCTGCTGCACACACCTGCGACACGCCGAACGTTCGACACAGGACAAAATAGAAACCGCGCACGACAAAATGAAAACCGCGCGCGAGACACAAACGACCGCGTAACACGCGTCTAGCGATAACTCGCTATTGACTCGACACGCACACTCGACATCATGACTCAACATTCACACACAATTATAAGCATGAAATATATATTATCCCATGCCCTCATACCATTCCATACACACACACATTCACGCACACGGACAACAAGCCGAGTGCAAACCGTAGGGTTGCACCAACAGTGGCCGAGGGTGTGAGTGAGCAAGAGACAGTTAAGGAGAGTGAGAGCGTGTACGTGAGTGAGAGAGAGTATGTGAGCAAGTGCTTGAGATTGTTCAAGTGGGAGTGTGTCACATCCTCAGGATGTATTATGTGTCCAAAATAGAACCGTCAGCTGAAAATTATTCTCACCTCTTCTTGACTATCACGTTTCTTGGCTGGCGTAATATCCCCGCTTCCCTGCCCCGCAACACCCCCCACCCTCTTTCAATCTTTCTTAAGCCTGCACCGCCTTAGAGATCATGGGCGCAGTGCAGGAGTGATAACTTCCTCGTTCCTCGTTCCTTCTCCATGGTACAGAATTTCTTTTACCCGAGGAGGGAATTAGAGTAACATGGCTCGATCGCTCATCTTCAACCTCCTGCTGGGACTCAGCAGCACCTTGCTCCTCCTTTCACGTAAGCCCCTCCACTTCCCTCCTGCTCCTCCTCCTCCTCCTCCTCCTCCTCCTCCTCCTCCTCCTCCCTGATGCCTGCACTCCCTCTTGCTTATTTCCGTTTCCCAGTTTCCTGCTTTCCCTTGCTCACAGCCTTGCTCACTTCGCTTCCCTTATATTATCTTTTGAGGCTTCTCAAAATGCCTCCTCCTCTTTTCATGGCATTACCTACTCTCACTTCCCTTATACTCCCTCTTGACTTGAGGATCCTCATGCCGAATTCTCTCCCACATATTCCCTCATTTCCTTCACTCCCCTCCCTTCCGCCCCTTCCCCGCCACCCCGCCTAATAACTCTATCTCCGCTCCCTGGGTGGGTGTACAGCTTCCTGGCTGCTGCAAGCAGAGGTGAGTCGCGCCAACTCAACGCCGATATTGATACGTTGAACGGCTAGGCCATTGAGAGGCCGCAATTCACCGCTGACGCGGTTCTACTCACCCTTGGTTGTCTCTACTCAGAGGCCTTGAGTACATTTTTCAATCACTCTCGATTGCCTCTATTCAGTCGTTCCGTTTCTGCTGGTCCTTTTGAATTGAAAGCTGAAATCTACTAATGGCAAGCCTACATGGTCGTTATTGGGTAGGGCAGCTACAAATTGCAGTCAGGGATACGTCAGAGCATAAACCATAACTGGATGTCTTGGTTTCTTTGTTTTCAGTCTCATCCCGCCTCTCTTCCTTCCGTTCATAAGGCTAAGGCTGCCACGTACACCTTCTCTTGATGGGTAGGGTGGATGCCACGCCACTTGTGACACCCTTAATTTGATACAACCCACCCATCCTTGGCGCTGAGCTTCGTTTTCCCCATCTCTCTTCCATCTCTTTTCCGTCAACCCACCAGGCTGCCACGCACATCATCCCGTGGGATCTCAGCAACACATGGCGCATGCAGTGACCGACTTTTGAGGCGCCTCAAAGCCATCCCTCTTCTGTCTGTCTCTCTTTTGTCCCTCTTCCGTCCCTCTTCCGTCTCTCCCTTGCGTTGTCAACCCACCAGGCAGACACGCACGTCATCCCGTGGGGTCTGTGCGCGACAAAACGCATGCAGCGTCCGCAGATTGCCCTTGGCGACAAATTAGGTGGGTGCATGTGTGTGTGTGTGTGTGCGTGCGTGCGTGCGTGCGTGCGTGTCGAATCATCACATAGTCGAATCAAGAATTACATCAAACCAGGTGCGCCGTCACAGGCGTGTTTCCTTGCCTGTCCGCAGCAGGACCAAAGCTTGGCTTGGAAGCAGATGCCCAGCTTATCTGCCCATTGGTTACAATCAAGGGCTCTGAGATTGGAATTCCCAACCACTGTAGACGTGCGGTAAGAATCCTACAGTTTTTAAACAGACTTCTTTTCGAAACCAGTTTCGGTGTTGTGACACGGGCTTTTTTGTCCCAGGCGTCTTCTCGCGAGAGCATCACTGTGGGTCTGCCTGTGGGTCTGCCTGTGGGTCTGCCTGTGGGTCTGCCTGTGGTTCTTCCTGTGGTTCTTCCTGTGGGCCTGCCTGTGGGCCTGCCTGTGGGCCATAATGCTTCTTGTGGAAGATGAAACCAGTGGCACCATCCCTGTCGTAATATCCTTTCTTCCTTGAACCTGCAATTCCATTTCCCAATCCCCATAATGCAGAAGCCACGGTCCCTCCAGTGCCCAATGCCCAGACTGCTTGCCTTCAATCTTACTAATCCCCGCCCCAGTGCTCAGTCAGCTGTGTCTCGTGGCGTCAAACGTGGATTTTTTTCCGCTCACCACTATTGATGCCTGATGCAGTCTTTTCAGTTGTTGCTCTCCCTTCAGCTCGCTGTGCTCTCCCTTCAGCTCCCAGTGCTCACCTGTCAGCTCCCAGCGTTCCGGTGGGCGGAATCGGTGTGGCATAACCTGTGAATTGAAGTGATGTCCACTCACCCTCATCCATACCATGTGGCATGTGGCCTCCGCCACTGCCCATCCCACAGTGTTCAAGTGGGCGGACTTGGCATGGCATGGACGAGCAGAATGCATGGATGTAGATTGTTCCACGCTCACCACTGCCCATGCCCACTGCACTCTGTTCACTGTTGATAACCACGCTGCGTGCAGTCTTCAAGTGGGCGGACCTATTCTGGCATGACCTGTGGATCATGAATGATGAGGCAGCATTCAATAACTGCAACTTCAAGCGGGCAAGGCGCCTTCGACCCCTTGTTGTTAGCGGGCAGTACATGTGAATCCAGGAAGTACACATAACTTTCGGACAGTACACGTAATTTTCTGGCAGTACACGTGTTTCTGGGCAGCACTGCAAGTGAATCCGGGCAGTACAAGCAAGTATGAGTAGGTTTGGCCAGTAAAAGTAGATTGAAGCATGCCCAGGTGCATGCCCTCCTTGCTTACTTGCATGCCCTCCTTGCCTACTTGCATGCCCTCCTGTCTACTCGCATTCCCACCTTGCCTGCATGCTTGCCCTCGCGAGCTGTGTTACTAGAGCACAAGAGAGCATACACTCCACGCCTACCGAGACAATTGACCCCCATGCAAAGTGTTTTAGAGAATTCTAAAATCATCTTGAGAAGATCCCACCCCCATGCATTCAATGCCCCCCCTCTCTCTCCCTCTATGGTTGTTTGCAGATTTACGGTCCGTGGATATGGCAAGTTCTACTTCGCCTCAAGTGGCCTTTACCAGTGTTACATGTACAAAGTGAAGTTCTCGCTTGACATGGGGCCCCATCCTGAATAAAAGGAAGACAGAGTAAACAGCTGTTGCCAAAAGGTTGGAGTTGGCGTATTGATCTGCGTGTTTTAATTCACCAGTTTGAGCATTGTGGGTGGATCCATAGGGTCAGAGGTGGTCTTACCTACCGCCGGTAATGACGTTGCTGACTTGAAAACCCTCATCCAATGATAGACATTAAGCGAATCTTTTATAAATTTTAAGTACTGTCATACCGGTATGTAATGTATTCTACCTGCGCGTATCACTCTCCCTGCCTCTGTTATTGTATAAATAAACGCATGTGAGACTGTTCCCTAGATGAGGACACGACAGAACAAGGCGGGACAGGACAGGCCAGGCCAGGACAGGACAGGACAGGAAAGGCCAGGGCAGGTCAGAACACGACGGGACGGGACAACACGGGACGGGACGGGGCGGCACAGGACGGGACAGACCAGGCCAGGCCAGGCCGGGACAGGACATGCCAGACCAGGGCAGGACAGGACAAGACAGGACAAGACAGGACAAGACAGGAGAAGACAGGACAAGACAGGACAAGACATGACAAGACAAGACAGGACAGGACGGGAAAAGGCGGGGTGGGGTGGGGCGGGGTGGGGCGGGGCAGGGAAGGGCAGGATAGGGCAGTAGGCAGAGCAGGGCAGGGCATGGTAGGGCAGGGCAGGGCAGGACAGGGGGGGAAGCGAGTGCTTGAGTTGGGGCGACCGAGGCACACCCGTGCAAACAATTCGCCAATGGAGAGGAGGTGCATTCTTGGGTGTTTGGATGTGCAGCACAGGTGCAGTGCTTTATGAAGCGTCGCTGGCCACATGGCAATTGTAATAGAGGTTCCACTCCTGGAGATCGTTGTAAATCTGCTCACACCACCACGCGTGCGGCCCGGGTGCACTGCTTTATGAGACGGGTGCAGTGCTTTATGAGACGGGTGCACTGCTTTATGACACGGGTGTAGTGCTTTATGAGACGGGTGCACTGCTTTATGACACGGGTGCACTGCTTTATGAGACGGGTGCACTGCTTTATGAGATGGGTGCACTGCTTTATGAGACGGGTGCAGTGCATTATGAGACGGGTGCAGTGCTTTATGAGACGGGTGCACTGCTTTATGAGACGGGTGCACTGCTTTATGAGACGGGTGCAGTGCTTTATGAGACGGGTGCAGTGCTTTATGAGACGGGTGCAGTGCTTTATGAGACGGGTGTAGTGCTTTATGAGACGGGTGCACTGCTTTATGAGACGGGTGCACTGATTTATGAGACGGGTGCACTGCTTTATGAGATGGGTGCACTGCTTTATGAGACGGGTGCAGTGCATTATGAGACAGGTGCAGTGCTTTATGAGACGGGTGCACTGCTTTATGAGACGGGTGCACTAATTTATGAGACGGGTGCAGTGCTTTATGAGACGGGTGCAGTGCTTTATGAGACGGGTGCAGTGCTTTATGAGACGGGTGCACTGCTTTATGACACGGGTGCACTGCTTTATGAGACGGGTGCACTGCTTTATGAGACGGGTGCAGTGCATTATGAGACGGGTGCACTCCTTTATGAGATGGGTGCACTCTTTTATGAGACGGGTGCAGTGCTTTATGAGACGGGTGCAGTGCTTTATGAGACGGGTGCACTGCTTTATGACACGGGTGCAGTGCTTTATGAGATGGGTGCTGTGCTTTATGAGACGGGTGCACTGCTTTATGAGACGGGTGCACTGCTTTATGAGACGGGTGCACTGCTTTATGAGACGGGTGCAGTGCTTCATGAGACGGGTGCATTGCTTTATGAGACGGGTGCAGTGCTTTATGAGACGGGTGCACTTCATTTTGAGACGGGTGCAGTGCTTTATGAGACGGGTGCATTGCTTTATGAGACGGGTGCACTTCTTTATGAGGCTGGTGCAGTGCTTTATGAGACGGGTGCACTGCTTTATGAGACGGGTGCAGTGCTTTTTAAGACGGGTGCACTGATTTATGAGACGGTTGCACTGTTTTATGAGACGGGTGCACTGCTTTATGAGACGGGTGCACTGCTTTATGAGACGGGTGCACTACTTTATGAGACGGGTGCAGTGCTTTATGAGACGGGTGCTGTGCTTTATGAGACGGGTGCAGTGCTTTATGAGATGGGTGTAGTGCTTTATGAGACGGGTGCACTGCTTTATGAGACGGGTGCACTGCTTTATGAGACGGGTGCACTTCTTTTTGAGACCGGTGCAGTGCTTTATGAGACGGATGCATTGCTTTATGAGACGGGTGCAGTGCTTTATGAGACGGGTGCACTGCTTTATGACACGGGTGCACTGCTTTATGACACGGGTGCACTGCTTTATGACACGGGTACACTGCTTTATGACAAGGGTGCACTGCTTTATGAGACGGGTGCACTTCTTTATGAGGCTGGTGCAGTGCTTTATGAGACGGGTGCACCGCTTTATGAGACGGGTGCAGTGCTTTATGAGACGGGTGCACTGCTTTATGAGACGGGTGCACTGCTTTATGAGACGGGTGCACTTCTTTTTGAGACGGGTGCATTGCTTTATGAGACGGATGCATTGCTTTATGAGAAGGGTGCACTTCTTTATGAGGCTGGTGCAGTGCTTTATGAGACGGGTGCACTGCTTTATGAGACAGGTGCAGTGCTTTTTGAGACGGGTGCAGTGCTTTATGAGACGGATGCATTGCTTTATGAGACGGGTGCACTTCTTTATGAGGCTGGTGCAGTGCTTTATGAGACGGGTGCACTGCTTTATGAGACAGGTGCACTGCTTTATGAGACGGGTGCAGTGCTTTATGAGACGGGTGCATTGCTGTATGACACGGGTGCACTGCTTTATGATATGGGTGCACTGCTTTATGATACGGGTGCACTGCTTTATGACAAGGGTGCACTGCTTTATGAGACGGGTGCACTGCTTTATGAGACGGGTGCAGTGCTTTATGAGACGGGCGCACTGCTTTATGAGATAGGTGTGTCAAACATTATACTTGTTATATTTGTGTAGGCTATATCAGAAAGAACGAAACAGGAATGATTGAACTAGCACAAAGTTGGGTACGAGTAGGAAACCCTAAGTTTGTGTACCCCCTAAGGCTAAACCCACTATAGCCTACACAACGTAAACATACAATGTTTGACACACCCCCATAGGCGAAGTGGGAGACAACCAGAGGGTCACAAGACCAGTCAAAGCAAAGCAAAGCAAAGCAAAGCTCAGGGTGGATCTCAAGGATACCACACAAATTCTGAGCACAAGCAAGTGGTCACAAGACCAGTTCACATGCAGTTTGATAATATAACAAGAGGTACAGTGATCACAACCTAGCAAGTGTAAACATGCAGGTATATATATAGAGATCACAGTACAAACAGAGTCAAGAAGTGAGCAAGTGAGGGAGAGTCGGCACAAGGCCTAGAACAGTACAGAAACGCTGATGGTCACAAGGCTGAAGCGCCTTGGTGAACACATCAGCAGTGTTGGCCCGAGTGGCCACGTAGGTAAGACGAAGCTGACCACGCTGCTGCAGCTCTCGAGCAAGGAAGTAGCGCAGAGCGATGTGCTTCGTTCTGTGCTCCAGTCTGTGCTCCTCACACAAGGCAATGGCTGCCTTGTTGTCGACGTACAGCACTGGAGGAGAACGAGGCCGCTCTCCGAGGTCGGTCAGCAGGTAGGTGAGCCAGCGTAGCTCCTGGGCCGCCATGGCTGTGGCGTAGATCTCAGCCTCACAACTGGAGCTGAGAACAGAAGAAGAGCGTGTAGAACGCCAAGAAACAGAGCCAGAGCCAAGGCTGAAGGTGTAGCCCTGAGACGACCGCTGAGTAGCCTGGTCGTCAGCCCAAGAAGCGTCTGAGTGCCCAGTGAGTACAACTCGGTCTCGTCCTCCAAGCACTAGCCCCATGCCCGACGTACTGCACAAGTAGCGCAACACCCTCTTAGCGGCATCCATGTGCTCCTTCCGGTGACGGCCAGGAGCGACATAGCGTGCAAGGATGCTAAGAGGGTATGCAAGGTCAGGTCGAGTGCAGGTCATCAGGTACATGAGGCAGCCCACAAGCTCTGGATACGGGCCACTCGGCTCTACGGACTCATCCGAAGGCAGAGCTGAGAGCGAGTGACCGGTAGGCAGAGGAGTGGGCTGAGGCGAGGAGTACGTGAAGCGGAAGCGCTGAAGGACCTGCTGCACCATGTGTGACTGAGTCAAGGTGATGGTGCGCCGTGCTCTGTCCCGGGTGATCCGCAAGCCAAGATAGCTTGTGAGTTCCCCCAGGTCTGTGCACGTGTGTCTCTTCTGCAGCTCCGACTTCACGTGGGCGAGTGCCGCAGTGTCAGCAGTGGCAAAGACCAAGTCGTCGACGTACACGAGGATGTAGAACGGCGGCAGCGAAGTGTCGGTGCGTAGAAACAGCGACGGGTCAGCAGTAGAAGGAGCGAACCCAAGAGCCGCAAGCGTAGTCCTCAGTGTGTCGTGCCACTCACGCGGCGCCTGTCGGAGACCGTAGACTGGCCGCCGGAGGCTCCACTGGGTACCAGGAGGGAACGACCCAGTGAAGCCAGGTGGGCGGCGCAGCCAGATCACCTCGTGTAGGCTGCCCTGTAGGAAAGCAGTGCTGAAGTCAAGAGAGTGGAGCTCGTAGTCACGCTGAGCGGCGACGTGCAGCAGAACCTGAAGAGTGGTCATCTTCGGGGTCGGGGAGAAGGTCTGGAAGAAGTCAACTCCCTCTCGCTGACTGAAGCCTCGTGCAACGTAACGCGCCTTGAAGACAGGCGGAGAACCCGGCGGCCGCTTCACCCTGAAAATCCACATGCCACTGACGATGTTCGCCCCAGGTGGGGGAACCTCATCAACGTAGGTGCCTGTGGACTTCCAAGAAGCCATCTCTGCGTCCATGGCTGTCTACCACTGACAGGAGTACTCACCCGCAATCGCCTCAGCGTAAGAGCGCGGGGTCGGGATGTCTGGAGCATCCGGGTCTCCCTCAGGGGCAACCAGCATGGACACGAGATGAGGTAAAGCAGCGGCAAAGCACTCAAACTCCTCCTGCCTGTCCTCAAGGACGTCCGTGCCAAGAGCACACTCACCCCCGACGGACGGAGGACAATCAGATTCAGACTCAGCAACAAGGCTAGCGGCGTAGTCTAGACGACAGGCGGCAGCAAAGGCAACTAACTCAGCGACTAGAGCAAACGCAGCAGGGGACTCAAAGGTAGGGTCAGTGACAACAGTGGCGAGGAGACGCGTGACAGTAGGACTGGCAGCACGAAGGGAGTCAGACTCCGGGTCAGCAAGAGCAGGAAGAGAGGAAGGAGGAGGAGACGGCAGAAGGACACGCTGGGGAGCAGTGGAAGGACGAAGCGCCATCTCGTGAGTGCCTGGGACAGCAGGTGGACGCTGACGCGGGACACGACGACCAGTGCGAGCAGCACGAACAGGCGACGCTGACCGAGACTCTGGCGACACAGGACGAGACTCAGGCTCACGACGCTCAGTGAGACCGCCGGTCGGACAAGTGTAAGGAGAAGGACCAGGGAGTGGTGAGGCAGGCGGTAGCTGTGACTGCGACTGGACAGGCGGAGGACACTCTAAGGAGGGAGGAGGACTAGGGGGAGGCGGCTGACCAAGAACCTGCCGAAGGAGCGGAACAAAGTACGGCCGCGGCCGCGCAGCGCCTCCAGAACCAGCAGAGGCACCTCCAGTACCCTCAGCTCCAGGGTCTCCAGCTACACCGGCAGCACCAGCTCCCGGGTCCGCAGCACCAGCAGCAGCTCCAACTCCAGGGTCCTCAGCTCCAGCAGCAGCTCCAACTCCAGGGTCGGCAGCACCAGCAGCAGCTCCAACGCCCGGGTCCGCAGCACCAGCAGCAGCTCCAACGCCCGGGTCCGCAGCACCAGCAGCAGCTCCAACGCCCGGGTCCGCAGCACCAGTAGCAGCTCCAACGCCCGGGTCCGCAGCACCAGTAGCAGCTCCAACGCCCGGGTCTGCAGCACCAGCAGCAGCTCCAACGCCCGGGTCCTCAGCACCAGCAGCAGCTCCAGTAGCACCAGCAGCACCGCCAGCAGCAGCAGTACCTCCAGCACCAGGGTCCGCAACTCTAGGAGCGCCACTCCGGAGACTGCAGCGCCGCGCGTACCACTCTCGGAGCCGCTGGGGAGAGGGCAGCTCCCGCCTAGGAGGGGAAGCACTAGCACCAGCTCCAGCAGCACGCCTAGCTCCAGAAGCACCTCTCCTGAGACTGCAGTACTGCAAGTACCACTCACGCAGCTGCTGTGAGGAGAGAGCTCCTCCAGGTGTAGCACTCCCAGGCTCAGTACCTCCAGACTCAGCACCCGCAGACATAGCACCCCCAGACTCAGCACCCGCAGGCTCCGCACCCCCAGGCTCAGCACCCCCAGACTCCGCAACCCCAGGCTCCGCACCCCCAGGCTCCGCACCCCCAGGCTCCGCACGTTAGGCTCAGCACCCCTAGCAGGACGAGAGTCGACAGCTACCTCGACAGGCTCAACCGGGTCTACCTGGGACACACCTGAGGGAGCGGCACCCTGAGGGGGGAGGGGGTCTACCACAGCAGCACCTGGCGCGAGGAAGAGAGGTGGGGGAGGGAGCGGGGCAGTGCGGTAGGGGAAGAGGCGATAGTAGGGTACAGACTCGTCAAAAGTGACGTCCTGAGAGGGCAGGACACGGCGCGAGGTGGCGTGGTAAAACTGCCAACCAGACGCGTCCGGGACAAAGCCAAGGAAAACACAAGGAACAGCGCGGGGTCGGGATGTCTGGAGCATCCGGGTCTCCCTCAGGGGCAACCAGCATGGACACGAGATGAGGTAAAGCAGCGAAAAGGCACTCAAACTCCTCCTGCCTGTCCTCAAGGACGTCCGTGCCAAGAGCACACTCACCCCCGACGGACGGAGGACAGACAGACTCAGACTCAGCAACAAGGCTAGCGGCGTAGTCTAGACGACAGGCGGCAGCAAAGGCAACTAACTCAGCGACCAGAGCAGACGCAGCAGAGGACTCAAAGGTAGGGTCAGTGACAACAGTGGCGAGAAGACGCTGCACTGACGGGTGACCAAGGCGGTGGTGCCAGAGGACAGTCTCGTGCGCCAGAGAGCGACACGAGCAGGGGGCAGACAGCTGACCTGACGCAGACGCAGACGCAGCTACCTGAGGGGACTCAGTGGTCAGTGTGTACAGGTCCGACCCCGGCTGCCTAGTGAAGGTAGCCAGGTGACGGCCCGTCCGAGCACACGTGCAGTGTGTCACACGCTCGTAGGCAGGGGTGAACTGGTGGACACCCCCGTCCTGGAGGGCACAACCCGCCACCAAGTTCGTAGAGAACGAGGGGAGGTGGAGACCTGACAGAGTGCCCGACGGAACCGCAGGACAAGGAAGGACAGTGGAGGAGGTCGCTAAGACCGGACCCCCAGAGGGGTCAGCAAGGGAGACAGCGACTGGCCGAGCAAGCTGCTCAAGGGTAGTGCGGTCACGAAAGAAACAGCGAGAAGCGCCTGAGTCTAGAGTGAAGGTGTGCAGTGCCTCAGTGGACTCAGTACCAGGGAGCGCAGACTCACTAGCACCTGAAGCAGCAGCCTCACCAGCACCTGGGGCAGCAGACACGTAAGCACCTAGCGCAGTAGCCTCACCAGCACCTGGGGCAGCAGACACGTAAGCACCTAGAGCGGCAGCCTCACTGGTGCGAATGCCCGGGTCGGGCGGAACACGCAGGTACTGATCACCCTCTCCACTAGTAGACAACACATACATGGCAGTGAGAATAGCATCAAAGTCAAGAGCAAAGACATCAATGTTCTTCTTCATCAGATCCCACCAGCGGGGCAGCTCAGTGGCAGTAGGGAACTGAGTGCGCCAAGCGTCGTCGAGGCGGGAGAAGCAGCGCTGCGTGGCGTGCGCCCTCCCACACGTGTGGCCAGTGCGCTCACCAGTGCAGATGACGTACATGCAGCTAAGGCCACCCCCCCCCCCCCGTGCTGAGAGTACCACTCACGAAGCTCCTGGGAAGAGAGAGGCTGCTGTCCGCCAGCGCCACCACAACCACCACCTCCGCCACCACCACCTCGACCACCACCGCTCCTGCCGCCGCCTCGTCCACCGCCGCCCCCACCACCGCCCCCACCCCGGCCACCTCCTCCGCTGCTGCCGCCACCACCCCCACCGCTGCCACTAGCTCCTCCTGCCCCGCCACCACCCCCACCGCCTCCACCGCCCCCACCACCGCCTCCCCCGCCGTCACCTCCACCTCCCTTGCCCCCTTTGCCCTTGCCGCTGCGGCGCCAGCTCGGAGCGGACGCAGTCCCGACCTGCTCAGTACCAACTAGGTCGACAGCAGCAGCAGAGGCGACAGAGGGGAGAAGGGGGAAAGGGGAACACCCCTCGAAGAACGGGGTGCGGGGGTCGCCACGAGAGGCACCTACAGCTACAATACTCTTCTCAGCTGCAAGCAGTTCCTTCTCGAGCAGATCAACGGTGAGCTCAGTGGGGCAGCGAGCGAGGAAGTGGTCCTTGACCGCTCGAAGGGAGTCAGGGAGACGGGTGACTAGGTGATAGAGAGTGAGCCAGAGCGGGGGGGGGTGGGTGGCAAGAAACTCAGCGGGCATAGCAGCACGGAAGCGGGCCTCACTAGTGCGGAGGTGCGTGATGAGGTCAGCGACTGTGTGGAAAGAGGACAGGTCGGGGAACAGGTAGGGGAGTGAGAGACGGCCTAGCGCAGCAGAGGCAGGCGAGAAGTAGCGTGCAACTACAGCAGTGTACAGTGCCTGTGCAGTTTTGTGCTGGCCAAAGTGCTCGCGCTCATCTACCGGCAGGGAGTTGCGAATGGCAAAGCGAGCGTGGGCGTCACGAGTCTGCCACTGTGAACGGGCAGTACTGTCAGCAGTAGAAGCAGGGGCAGCAGCATTGCCTAGTGCGTGATCGTACAGCGAGATATCCTCCTTGGCAGTGAGCTGGAGGAACAGGTGCAAGTCATCTAGC